TTCTGCTTATTCAAATCTCAAAACTCTGAACCAAACAGGTTCCACATAATGCCACTTTTAAACCTTTTCTTAACCAAACAAGGTTATTTAAAGCTTCAGGCCAAACCTGACATTTTCTTCTCAATAACATCCAAACTATGATTTCCAATAAGAACCTTGATCCTAAATCTTTAAGTCACAAAGAAAAAAAGACTCCGGACCACGGTAGTCTTAAAGGATATAATATAATGAGTTATATCATACAACACATATACAAATGCCACCTTTATATCCAAAGGTACACCTCTCCTTGATATGTCACCCTTATCCCATGGTACACCTCTCCTTGATATGTCACCCTTATCCCATGGTACACCTCTCCTTGATATGCCACCCTTATCCCATGGTACACCTCTCCTTGATATGCCACCCTTATTTCCTCATCAAAATATTTTTACAGAATAATTTCAAATAAATCGCAGCCATTGACATTATTATCAATGCAAAATCATTTCTTTCAAAACTTCCTTTTTATGATAAAATAGCATTTCTTATCGAAAATAAAACATTACATCAAATCCGGTCAATCTTGACTTAGCCGGACTTCAAATCCGGTCAATCTTGACTTAGCCGGACATCAAATCCGGTCAATGTTGACTTAGCCGGACTTCAAATCCGGTCAATCTTGACTTAGCCGGACTTCAAATCCGGTCAATACCCCGCATAAAGCTTAGCCGATTTAAAATAATCCGGCCACCATTTGGTCGTATTCCTACTTCTCAGTGTAAAAAGATAATCATTCTTACCAATCATAATCCGATCAACACTTAACCGATTTAAAACAATCCGAACGATACATCGTTTAACTTTGTCCGATTTAAAACAATCCGGGCAATACATCATTTAACCTTTGTCCGATTTAAAACAATTCGGACGATACATCGTTTAACCTTTTGTCCGATTTAAAACAATCCGGACGATACATCGTTTAACCTTTATCCGATTTAAAACAATCTGGACGATACATCGTTTAACCTTTGTCCGATTTAAAACAATCCGGACGATACATTGTTTAACCTTTGTCCGATTTAAAACAATCTGGACAAGCCTTGTCCGGTTTAATACCCGGATAAAACACTTAGAACAAGAGACAGATTTCCTTCCAAAATAAACAAGATTCATACAAAACCAATAATAATTTTATGCAAAAGAGTTTAGAAAACCACTCACCTTATGCAATCAGATGAGAGTCAACTTCTTGATATCAGACACTTGAATCTTTTTTACAAGTATAACCCGGTCAATATTTTCTCTTTTAAATCGCACAACTTTTAGCAAATGCAAGAAAAGAAAATATGGAGGCTAAGCCCTCCTTTTATACACTTCCAAAAATGGAAGGTCGGCTAACAGCCCCTTTTTCCCATACAACTCACCACATGCACATGCATGCATCCTCACACCATGCATTCTCAACATGCATACGTGTATAATCATATATATATATATATATGCACATATTCACATATATCATGCATTATATATATATATATATATATATCTAATTAATACAAAATCTCACATATCCGCATGATTTAACATATCAATTTATCATGTCATCACGTAATCATTTAATCAAATAATCACGTAATAATTACATCGGGTGATAAATAGGATCTGGTTATCACATTAATTATAAAAATAAAGCTTAAACATTGAGATTTGACGTATAAATAAAACATAAAATAATTTATATTACATCTTCATATTCTTAAATAACATTATTTGTAGTACAATTAACACGTAAAACCCATATATATTTATGTATTCCTCAACACCGCCTATTAAATGGAAATAGCGATGAGAATCCATAAACTATAAAATAAAATTAGAGTAATTAAATCAAGAAGGAATTATGAATTATAAATTAATTAATTGAGAAAATGTTTGATTTAGGATGAAATTACATACCTGAAGAAGGATTTTTAAGGGTAAAAATAGAAATGAACTAGAGGAAGAAGAAGAAAAATATAAAAAGGAGTTGTAGTAGTGTTAAAGGTGATATATACATGTGTGTGTAAAAGAACCTTAATAATATAATAAACATAAAAAATCTTATAAAAAAAAAAATATATATATATATATATAACAATAATATAACAAT